GCTCCGTTGCCCCTCCTACTTTTTTTAAATTAAATGTAAATAAAATAAAATATCTGGTCACATATTTACTTTAATTATTCTTCCCTTTTTGGGTCTGGATCATTGACTAAACTCGAGTGTAATCAGAAAGATAAAGAGGAGATTAGGAGTAGAGTTTTCTTTTTTGGAGGGTCTGCATTTTAAACGTAATATAGTAAGTAAAAGAGGTAAGTATGCTATCTTACAAACTTGGATGCTAGTATCTGTGTATCTCAAATGTGTGTGTATAACAATAACAAACACTTTACAAAACAAGATTTAGGGGTCTATTCACAAAGCTGCCGTAGGCAGCCGAGTGAATGACCGACCCAAAGTCAAGTGAGCCCAACGCTGTTTGGCTATTCACTTCAGGCTTGTAGGGCTGATTTCAGCCGTACACCGACTAAAATCAGCCGTACATCAGCTTGCTGTGGCTGGCTTCGGGTCGGCCAAACATGCTCAGCATGTTCCGCGACCCGAAGTGCAGAAGGAGTTCGACTCAGCCGATCAAACATCTGGATCGGCTAAGCTGAACCTCCGGCAGGCTACTCGCTGCTGTTCGGCCTATTCTCATAGATGCAGAATAGAAAAACAATTAAAAAAGTAGAAAAATTAAAATAGAAAATGTTTGGGCGGAGCTAGCAGTGACAGCTAGCTCCGACCAACTGTTTTCTATTGGCCGGGCGGTTCTGCTGCCGTCAGAAAAACAAACAAAAAACAACAACATAGGAATGCATAGCTAGATTCCTATTGGCTATTTCACTTTGCAATAGCCAATAGCAAACTAGCTATTGCACCCGCCCTCTGCTGCTGTCAATCAGCAGAAGGGGACCTGATGGAGAACTTCAGGTCCCCTCAGCATAGGAATGTAGCTATGCATTCCTATGCTGTTTTTATTTATTTTTTTACAGCCAACGGCTCCGATGTCAGAAGAAAAAAAAAAGACAACAAAGCAGAGAAAGGTTTACTCTGCTCGATCGAGCAGAGTAAAAGATTCCGGGAGAAAGTGTTTCTCTCCCGGGAGTCGCTATCTAATAGCGGGAGACTCCCAGAGCGTGAGTTGAGAGTTGGGCTGCCTGGAGATCAGCGTCCCTGGGACTTGTCTGTGCAAGTGGCTGGAGCCAGCCATGAGATGCTTCGGCTTTCACCTCAGTCGAGCCGAAGCATATGCCTGAGCCCCTCGGCCAACTTCGAGAGCTGTACAGGCTATAGTGAATAGCCCGTACAGCAGCCCTTCGGTTCTACTGAACCAAAGGGGTCCTGGGGTCGAAGCTAGCCGAAGGATCAGCCGAAGCTACGGCTAGATCCTTCGGGAGCTTTGTGAATAGACCCCTTAGTGCCACGGTTGCCAGAAAATCATGAAACAATACAAACTTTTGCCGGTTATATAATAGCTCAGTTCAGATGTAAAGCTTGAAATCCACATAGTTAACAACAACAACAACAACAATACAGAGCTTAGATTAGCATGCGGGGGACTCAATGCAATTTGCTGTATCTTAATTGGAAATGTTCTTTTTGAGAATTCCAAATAACCTTGGTAACCAAGCCGATATTAGAGCTAACGATGTAACAGATTGTGGAATTCCTATTCTCTTTATGTCATTTCATTTAGATATCTATTTTTAATAATGGCTGCTTTATTGGGAACCTTTAGTTGGCGTTAACAGATTTTTTTTTTAATATCTCTCTGACCTCTAATAAATCTGTTCTTTTTATACAACTGTTTATTGTTTAACATTTGAAAGACTGACATGGATTTTTTGCATTACTTTTGGCAACATCTCTTTAAAAACAGACATTTATATACTGACAAGCCAACCTGCGGCCTCTTTACTGAATGCAGATCTGCAAAACCTGATTAAAACTCTTACTTCGAATCAACAGGCCGCATGAGTAAACATTTAATCAACAGCTCAGATGTTCCAGAAAAAGTTCATTTATAAATATTCTGCTCAGTAACTTCTTCAATTTTAGAGAGGATAGTGCAGCAATTGCTTATTATTAACGATACTATAAGTTATACAACCAAAAGGTAACATTAAATATTTTATTCAGAATATTTGTTAATGGCTGGTGTTGCCATAAATATAGACACAAGTACAGAGTCATGGCAAGCTGTAGCTGTAGTGTAAAGGTGCCCACACACCTTGCGATAATCGCGGGAAATCCCGCGATCGTAAGATAATCGTAAGGTGTGTGGAAGCCGTGCGACCTCTACTACTGTAAGTTCGCACGACTTTTATCTTACGAACATGTTCGAAAACCCGCCGAGAATCGTACGATTTTCGGTGGGTGTGTAGCATGTTCGTAGGATAAAAGCCGGATGGGCCGTGGAAACTCTATGGCTAGAGCTAGATATGACGGACGCTAGCCGTAAACTGCTCGTGGGTATTTGCTATAAACCTCCAAATATAGGGGAAGAGGGAGAAGTCAATCTTCACTCGCAGATAGGAATAGCTGGGAGAGAGGACCAGTGATTGGCGGAGGGCTACGGTAGTCTCAATATTCAAAAAGGGGGCTAGGTGCCAACCTGGGAACTTAGACTGATGTTAGACTGACCGGAATAGGCCGGTCAGTCTAACATCGGTAGTTTGTAAAATGCTAGAGGGCATAATAAAGGATTATCTGGTAGAATTTGTTCAGGAAAACGGGATAGTTAATGACAATCAGCATGGGTTCAGGAAAGATTGTTCCTGCCTAACTAACTTACTAACCTTTTAAGTAGAGATATGGACGGAGGTAAGCCGGTAGATGTGGTATATCTGGATTTCTCAAAGGCATTTGATACGGTACCACACAAACGCTTACTTCACAAGCTGAGGGCTATGGGCATAGATGAGTTGGTGTGTACGTGGATAGAGAACTAGCTACGGGAACGTGTCCAGAGGGTATCTGTAAATGGCACCTTTTCAGACTGGGCTAGTGTAATGAGCGGTGTGCCTCAGGGTTCTGTGCTGGGTCCCATATTGTTCAACTTATTTATTAATGACATCGGGGAGGGTGTTAACAGCGATATTTCCGTGTTTGCGGATGACACCAAAATAGGGAGGGTAATAGACACGGACTTAGACACTATAACATTACAGGAGGACCTGGATAAAATAGGGGAGTGGGCATTAATGTGGCAGATGAGGTTTAATGTTACTATGTAACTATGTAACTATGTATAATGTAGAGCCTTAGTTCTCAACTGGTGGGTCGCGACCCGTGTTCAGCGGGTCGCTGCATGCCTTCTACTTTTCTAGGCTCCTCTGCCTCTTCCTAGCACAACACAGCCAGCTCTTGTGCCAAGCATCATTGAAAATATCAGCTTCAGGTGGGGTAGGGTGGGCTGGGGATATGGTTGTGAGGGAGATCCAGCCATATGTGCATTGCTTAGAGCAGTGGTTCTCAACCTGTGTAACCTCAGGACCCACATTTGTCCTTGGTCATTAGGTCGTGACCCAAATCACACTGCAATTGAATGCACGGCCTTATGGTACCGCGCCTTCCGGTGTGAGTGTACGAACTGTGGGTGGGGGTGCATTTGGGGTACTATTCAAATGAATGGCAACGCAACACACCTCCCACACCAGAATGCACAGTAGGTGCTATTGTGTGGTACAGTGCCTAGATTGGAGTGACTTCACATTATGGCTCCCGAGACCTCTACAGGACATGCAAGGGAGCTGTACAAACAATGCACATACGGATGGAGCTCCATTACAGCACAGCAGCCCACACTGGACCCCAGCCTGCAGATGCACACCTATTCTCGTAAATTAGGGAGAATGGGTGAATCTTAAAAAAAAGAAAGTAATGTTTTTTGGAGTGTGTATGTTGTGTGAGAATGTGTCTGTGGTTGTGTGTGTCTGTCATTGTTTTTGAGGGCCTGTTCCCACTAGTACAGTACGTTAATCAAACATTCTCATGCGATTAATGCACTGCACCACGCAACGGGAGGCCACACCAGAACGCGTGGTAACGCAATGCCATGTTTTCCATTGCAGTGTGACTTGGGTTGCGACTTAATTACCAAAAACAAATGTGGGTCCTGAGGTTACACAGGTTGAGAACCACTGATGTAGAGAAAATATACAACATTTATTTAGTCAATATTAAAACAATCTGTAAAATCATATACAATAAAAAAATGTCATGCCCCATTTAAATCCATCAAAATGAGTTTATGCACAGGGTCCTACTACCAATTTGTCTTACAAAATATACAAATCACAAATCCAGCATCTGAGGAGGTTCCTCCAGCTGATGAATGCTATGGGTATTTAACATATGAGGGCAAGGAAAGTTTGGCGTAGTGCTGTATACAAGTAGCGCATTTTGCAGCCTTTAAACTGCTTCATCAGACTTTATTGTGCATTAGTAATATCATTAAAAAAACTATGTAACAGGAGTACAAGTTATTTCCTCCACTTTGGTACACCGGGTATAGGTCAAAGCATTTAGGTCAAAGCTTTTATGGGTAATGCGAATAGTAAAAAAAAAAAAAAAATCCCACACATTATAAGAAAACTATTCCTATTTTCATAACCTTGACACTCTCATTTTTACACCTCTCACATTTTTGTAAATATTTTATTAGATAATTTCATGTGACGACACTGAAGAAATGACACTTTGCTACAATGTAAAGTAGTGAGTGTACAGCTTGTATATCAGTGTACATCTGCTGTCCCCTCAAAATAACTCAACACACAGCCATTAATGTCTAAACCGCTGGCAACAAAAGTGAGTACACTGCTAAGTGAAATGCCCTTTTCCAGTGCTCCCCACAAGACTTTCGCTAGAAAAGTAATTTACCTGAAAATATTCCTGTTATGCTCACTCGCTGTCAAAATTTTTTTGAAAAGCATAATAGATGGTAAAATTCTTGGTATAGGGATTTTGATCAACAATGTACTGAAAATGAATAGATACCAATTGCCTCTGTATTTTAAGACCTTTTATTTCTTTCGTCACTTCTGGATGCTTTATTCTAGGTGTCTGTGCAAGCTACCTGTGTGACCTTGACTGCTATGAGTGTGGATCGTTGGTATGTGACAGTTTATCCCTTGCGATCGTTGCGTCAGAGGACTCCCCGTGTGGCTGCAACTGTCAGCCTCGGAATCTGGATTGGTAATTATGCAAATGTATTTATTACTTTATTCTCTCCCTAAAGAAGATTTAAGGGTAAACATATAAAATAAGATAAATTACCCCTCAGCAAATGCTATCCTTTGAAATGCTATAAACATTATTGTGGGGCTACTGTTCAAAGGGTTGGGGGTAATGTGGGTGGGATCTATAGGGGTACATGTAAATAAACACACACACCTAGTGTGAGTCCTTTAGATGATAAGAAAACACACACACCAAAAAAAACAAAAAAACTTTATCAATGGTTGAGCATTAAGTCATGAAGTTCAGTGATGTAATCCACATCAATCACAGCGTCCAGTGATGTAAATCCCTATCAACCATTATGACCCCACGCCAGCTGATGCTTACTCTATGTTTACATTACTTCCACTCCGATAATGTAAAGACAGAATTGGTGATCCAGGGTGATGTTATTGACTAAATTTGGTCATTGGCCAAATTGCTGATGCCGTGTTTACAGTACAAGTGACTTACAGGTAATTGGCCATACCAAATTTGGTCAATGACATCACCCTGGATCTATTATTTAGTGATGGTGTGCAGCGGGTAAACATTGGTTGGTGTCGGGTCATCGTGTTTGAGAAGTATTTAAATTTGCTGGATGATGTGATTGACTTTGACTACATTGCTGGACATTATGATTGACATTGAATTACATCAGAAAATAATTTTTAAAAAAATACAAGTTTTTGTTGATTGTGTTTATTGACATTTAACTCTTAGTGGGAATGCGTAAATTGTAGTATTGTGCCTCTGTACTCATTCTACTGGGAAGGGGCAGATATCTGGTCACCCCTTATTATAAATCGGGGCATCAATGTTATCAAGTTGAAGACTAGCTCCTCCTTCAGTTTGGAAATGAAATAACCATGTCAGTATTCGCAGGGTTCTGCCCAGTTGTAGTTGGCCTCAGGACCCTAGATACAAAGAGGTTCTGTCTCTGTATATGAGATCCTTCCCCCAGGACAACCTCAGCAGTCCATAGGCTGGCCTCCACTGGCTCCTCTACACATATCTCAGGGATCCCAGGCATATCCTATGAGTGTAATCTTCAGCACTTATTTACTCCTCAAAAGACAGAGCGGACACCAGACTTCCCAGCCTTGCTGCATGACAGCCCCTGCAGCAATGCTAAAAACCTTTCCCTCTCTCTCTTCTGAGGAATGAATGTCCAGTCAGGTTCAAACACGTAGAACTCAAGCTTTACTTCAAATGATGGTAATTCAAGAGCAGATTAATGAACTGTACATTTCCCTTCTATACATCACATATTTTGCCTTATCAGACACCATATTTGCAATTAGGCCGGTTAGCTCCTAAGGTCTGTGTGAATTAACTCCCTGGCTTTCATGTTTCCCATTCTATAGAGTAGTTACTTACAACAAACTGCTCATGACTAATGATGCAGCATGATTTATTGCCCATTGTGACAGGGGAACAAACTAATTTCATGATCTACTCCCTACTCTCCACTTGCCTTTCCCTTCAATCTCCACCAGCCTGACTTCTTCAAAACCCAAGACAAAGGAGAATGACTCATTGGTGGGTTGTGGGACCTAACCCTCTGAAACAACCAGATTCCACTATAAGTCCATCCCATATTGTCCCCACCTTCTTCTTGGGCATTGAAAGTAGGGTAACATTTGGACAAGGGTGCTTTGCAAGGGGGGGGGGATTTGCTGACCCCCCCCCCCTTGGAAGGTACCCCTATTTTTTAAAGGGATTTGGCATGGTCTGGTACAGAAAGGGGGGGTGCACACTCGCTGCCGCCCCCTTTCTTGGCCACCCAGGGTTTATGCTTGGATTAGGGTTTGGTGGAGATTTAAATTACCACAGTCTGTAAAAATTGTTCCATAACAGTACATGCAGATTTAAAGCATCCCCAACGCATGTTATTTTAAGGATTTGTAAATCTTAACTATTGCTCTAATCCACATAAAAAGTCCCTCTTCCTGTTGTATGGTATTGTTTTTATTTTTTTATGCATTGGTACATGTAACTCATGGCAGTGCTCAGCTCCCCATACCCTTTTCTAACAATTACTTGACTATTAACCTTAAAATGGGCAGAAAAAATTAATAAGATTCACCTTCCATAGACTTTGCTATGTTCGCTAAACATCCCTCAAAGATATACCAAAAATTAAGAATATAGTAAAAATTAAGGGAAAATCCATTTATATATAGTTAAACACACAAACAAGCAAAGGGCTTATAGCAACATTTTTTGGGCCTATGTCAATAGAATCAGTTTGACACCAGCATGTTAAGGCTTTTCCCCATAGTTCTCCTTAGGGTAACGGGAGGACACAAACTAGTGTCCTCCCGTCACCCTAGGCTCAGTATACCGCGAGCTGTAGCTCGCGGTATACTGAGACGCACGAAAATACGTCAACGGAATTTCGTATTTATCTCTGTGCGCCACAGCTGAAGCGATGTTAAGGCTTTTCCCCATAGTTCTCCTTAGGGTAACGGGAGGACACAAACTAGTGTCCTCCCGTCACCCTAGGCTCAGTATACCGCGAGCTGTAGCTCGCGGTATACTGAGACGCCGCAGTATACCGCAAGCTGCTGCTCGCGGTATACTGAGACGCCACAGCTGAAGCGGATCCCGACAATTATGTCAGGATCCGCCCAGCTGCGTGACTGACAGCTAGCTATGCCTATCTAGAGGCAGAGCCAGCTGTACCCACCCCCTTCCCCATCCGTTCCGCCAGTCAGCGCTGGCGGATCGGAGCGGGGAGGGGGGAATCCAGTCCCTCCCCTGTCATGGCAGAGAGCCGTGACAGGATCGAGAGGTGAGCGAGCGCTGGTATGTGTTCGCTCACCTCCCGATCTACTAAGCCGACCTGTGACAGTTTCATTGTCACAGGTCGGCTAGAACTATGAGGTGAGTGAAAAACACTCACCTCATAGCTCTCCTTTAAGAATTTGTGAATTTGTCCTGCACATGACCTTCTTCTGACCTGTATTTGACCTGCTTCAAGTGAGTTTTGCAATCCCATAGATTGATATGGGGATTGCAAGCACCATTTACTGTTGCTTTAAACAGCCGATCAAAGTATAGAGACTTGTTTGCTATTTTTTATATTATTTAATGTCCTCTACTTGTGTGGAATAAACCCCCATATTGGTTGTGGGCAGTGGTTATTTTGTGGGCAGTTTGTGAGGCACATATAAGAGTAAACAGGTTCCTGCAGTGAACATTATATTTCTGAGATGGATATGTGCTCAGAGCATGTGTGGTCTAGTAAATACCAGGTAACTCTTCCTAGGATAGATTATAAATGTTTGTGATCCAGTGGGAGCAGAATATTAGATAAGGAGACCAGAAACCCATCTGATCAGTCTGTAAAAATAGAACAAATTGTCTATGAAAAAATTATCACCAAAGATGTGCTCAGATAACAGATCATATTTCCTAGAATGACAGAATAATACACTTCTTCATTCCCTGATAGACTTGTGCGCCGTCAAAAAATTTGTTCTGTTTCGTTTCGTTTCGGAATATCTGTTATTTTGTATTTCGTAACTGAACTCAATTCGGATTCAGATTCGTACGAAATACGAATTTCCGTTAGTGGCGGTTATATTTTCGTAACTTTACGAACATTCGTTATGATGAAGTTAAAAAGCAAAATACCTTTGTTAATATTGGAGTGGTAGTTGTTTTTTTTTCCGAAATACGAATTCCGTTAACGGATTCCGTATCCGAATTTCGGATTTCGGATTTTAAAAAAAAAATACCATCAACTCCAATATAAATATACATTGCTTTTTAACTTCAATATATAACGAATGTTCGTAACGGAACGAAAATACGTCAACGGAATTTCGTATTTCATGCCTGTATTTGTAATGCAACTCTCAGCAGCAGAAGAGAACCTCTGATTGGTCAACCAAAACGAAATACGAATTCCGTTAACGGATTCCGTATCCGAATTTCGTATTTCGTATTTTGAAAAAAAATACCATCAACTCCAATATAAATGTACTTTGCTTTTTAACTTTAATATAACGAATGTTCGTAACGGAACGAAAATACGTCAACGGAATTTCGTATTTCCTGCCTGTGTGTGTAACTGTGTATTGTAATGCAACCCTCAGCAGCAGCGGATCCGTATTTCGGATTAAAAAAAAAATCTTGTCAAGTTGTTCAACCTCATTTACAGGGGTAATATTAGTTCCTGTTTCAAAGAAATTCGGATCCGAAATTCGTTAACGGAATTTCGTATTTCGGATATAATTCGGAAACTGCCATTCGGATTTCTGATGCTCCGAAATTCGGAATTTCAGGAAAATTCGTACGGATTTCGATTCGCAACGAAACGAATCGCACATGTCTATTCCCTGAGCCTAGTGCCCAGTTAAGTTTTTGGTGTAGTGAAATCTCTAGAGGAAAGTAACCAGGGAAGAGACCTCTGCTAAAACGTTCTCCATATACAGTAAGTTACAGTTGATGGATGTTGATACTTTAATTGAACTGTTTCATACTCAAGTAATTTACCTCATGGTTGTGCTAAGATCATTTCAGTTTTTCCTTTTTGTTATACGTCAATTCATGTAGAAACTGAATGTTTCTAGTGTTGCTTGCTGCTGTCAGATTACATTTCTTCCTTCTTAGAGTCACTACAAAAAAAATTCTCCTTGTAAAGAGAATATGAGGAAAATATATATTGGAGTGGCTATTATTTTATAAGCAGATTAAAAGAAACACTTTGAATCTGGTTGCATGTTAATCTCTATGATCATCAATAACCTGGTTTCCTGAAATTCATTGTTCTTAAAACTACAGAAAATTCTGAACTCTGCACTCGTGTTCATTTCTCCTTGTATTTAAAATAGTTGTTGTCTCTCATTTTCCTGAGGGTCTTGTAGATTTTTCTTCAGATGTATGTTTTTATGTCGTACCTTTCCATCTTTCATTTTAGTTCCTCATCAAAAGGAACTTGTTGGACCTCCTGCCAGGTCCTTTGG